AACCCCAAACTGCATAAACTAAAGCAGAGATTAAAATGAAAAATGGTCTTTTTTGTTAAACACAGAGTCAGCTGTGCACACACTACCAGAGACAGAAAAATGACAGAGACAGACAGAGAGAGACAGAGACAAAGACAGACAGAAAGACAGACAGAAAGAGAGAGACAGAAACAAAGACAGACAGAAATATAGAGACAGACAGAGACAAATAGACAGAAATATAGAGAGACAGACAGAGACAAATACAGACAGAAATATAGAGAGACAGACAGAGACACAGACAGACAGACAGAGACAAAGACAGACAAACAGAAAGACAGAGACAGGGTCAGACTAACCTCCACCATGGTCTGGTTCCCCCGCAGGGCCAGCAGCATGCAGGGTCCCAGCTTGTTCTCTGACAGTGACAAGAGAAACTTCTTGGTCTTGTAGCAGGAGCCCATGAGGATGTGGACCTGTGGAGAGGAGAGGGTTAGAGTCAGGTGTGGCAAGAAGTGAATGGGGTTCTGAGATGCAACGCCTCCCCATCGAACAGGGTAGGCCAAGGCGAAGCTGCAGACGGCTCCTAAGATGGGGGTGTGATACTAACCAGCTCTGGATGGATGGGTGAGAGGATTTTGGAAAGGTGGAGGAGGATGGTGGATTTGATGAGGAGGAAGAGGGACACATACCATGCTGGCAAAGAGCTCTCCATCGTCATCGCAGGCCACGCCCCCCGGGCTGTACAGCTGGAACCAGCCGTCCTTTCCAGAGCGAACACTGAGCAGGCAGGAGTGAACCTGAATAACACACAGAGGGTGAGGATGAGGGGGTGAACCTGTACCGCACACACACACACACACACACACACACACAGCCGAGCGCACAGACGCACACACATGCACAGACACACACACGCACGCACAGATGCACGCACAGACACACACACACACACACGCACAGACAAGCGTGCGCACACACACGCACGCACACACATGCACACAAGTTTGTAAGTATATCTTTGTGGGGACTCTCCATTCAATTCTATGAGTAGAATCCTGATCCCAGTAATGACAACCCTTAACCCCTACACCCAGCCCTGACCTTAGTGACGAGCAAAATACAAGACTTTTAGCATTTTTAGTTTTTTTTTTATGCCATTTACATGTTTTTATAAAACTGAGTTTCTCCTTGTAGGCACTGAAAAGTTGGTCAAAACAACAGTTTTTTTTTTTTTTAAATCAAATTCTGGGGCTATTTAGTCCCTGGATGTAGTAAATACAAAAACAAACAAATAAGCAAATAAACAAAGACAGACAGACAGAGAAAGACAGACAGAGACAGACGGAGAGAGACAGAGACAGACAGACAGAGACAGACTCACCTCCTGTCGGGGGTCCTCAGCAAACCGCTGGATAACGTACTTGAGCTCCCTGGATGGACAGACAGGCAGAATGCTATCAGGACCTGAACTCGCATTTCAGTCCTTAACCCCCCCCACCCCCTTTAAAGCCCAGCCTTTGTTGATTAAAACACGACAGCCCACAAGGTACTTACTTTGTGAATTTGGCATGTGCAAGAGCCCTAAAACGAGACAGGAGGGATACAAACGTGGTAAGAATCCAGCACAGCAAAGGAAAATGAGACAGTGAATTCTCCAATCTGATTGGTCAGAAGAGTTTCAGTTAATTTTCTATAAGTGTCTCCCAGCCAGGCGAATCATAGCAGTAACTTCGATGCACTAATAATCTAATGAAACATGAAAATGGAGTCATTAGATTCAAACGCGAAAGCCGAATGTGGGGTAACCATAGTCTAAGAGGGAACTATACTCTCCAAGCGGGATATTATACGTTTGTAACAGCGCTCTGCTGCATATCGGCTGCTTCAGAGCTCCCGCAGCCGTGCATTTAAGAGCATATAACCTTTCATCAGCAACTCAATTAAAACCCACCGCTGAAACTGTTTGTTTGTCATTTAAGAGGAATGAAGATCACACAAGCTGTTGAATTATTTATGGGAAAGAGTCTGTGGACCATCTGTGACTGACAGAGGAGAGAGTACATGAGGGGTCGGATTTTACAAAGTGTGCTTCCATCTTGTTTGCTGCTTCTGTTTCTAAATACATAAAATCTCTGATTAGTCTTAATGACCGGTGGGTTACAGTTGAACTCCTGTCTCGAAAACAACAGCCCTTGTCAGGTTAATTAAGAGGGGAACATGGTGGCCAATTACAGAGGTCCCCTCAGAGGAGCAGCCAAACAAGTGGGGACACTCCCGCGGGAGGGGGGTCTGACGTCAGAGGGATTCCCAGAACCCCTCTCTGCCTCCCTCACCCCCATACGGCGTCCCTCGGAGAGCGCAACCGCCGACGCAGGGCTGACGGATTTATATACCAGCTTCCCACCAGTGACTTTTGCTGAGTATCATGATTAGGATGCACTGGTGCCGGTGAAATCAGAGGAGAGTCAATTAAACAGGGGCGCAAAAAAATACATAAATCAAACTGGCTTCCCCCATGGATGAAGGGAGAGAATGAGGGAAGAGGGAGGGGTGGAGTCAGAGAGAGACTCACTCTTTGGGGAAGGGGATTGGCTGAAGCAGACTTGCCAGGGCGGGTCTCCAGTCATCGTAGTCAGACCTGGAAGGTACACAAAGGGACCGTCAATACAGTGGGGGGAGGGGGGGCTGTCATCAAAGCATTTTACATAGTTTTTGTGTACATTTCCTTCGAAGTATTAGGACTGGAAACACAAATATCGTGTGTATGGGGGGGGGGCTGTGCATCCCAGCAACTCTCTGTCTATCAGAGACTCCAGGCATGTAGGACGCGACGGTGGTGAAAATGAAAATGCACAAAGAGCCATTTCCTGGGACGTTTGTCCCGCACGGGTCACCCCCCTCCGCCGTGTGCGGTCAGGGGGGGGGGCGGCGGCCGGCCGAGATCAGCGGGGTAAAGCGCTTAGAGCTCCTCTGGGGAAGTGACTTAGTTGATCACAGCTGGCGGGGATTCCTGACCGCAAAACGCCACTAACATGTACATACACACGCACATGTGCACAAGCATGCACGCACACACATGCACAAGCGTGCACGCACACACATGCATAAGCGTGCACGCACACACATGCATATGCACGCACGCACGCACACACATATGCACACACGTATGCACGCACATGGGGCACTGTTATCAAATCATTCCAATGGCAAGCGTTAAAAGATTTTTCTTCCCGCCTCCACGCTACACAACGCATCAAAACACAACGATATAAACGTGGGCGTTAATGAGGCTCCGCCCCCGATAAGGGAATATACAAGGTGAAGCTGCAAGATAATACAAAAGGTTATAGAGAAGAGTCGGCGAGCCGAAGGGAGGGCAGGGCCACCCGCGAACAGAGCGAGGCGTCACAGCGTCACACCGTCACACCGCTAAGGAGCAGACCGCCATCCCCCCCCCCCACGATGGAAAAAGGACAACCCAAAGGACACATCTCTCCATTTTTTATGGATTTTTTTAAAAGGGGGTTTAGTTCACTTCCTTCATAAACGAGCAGCCCCCCCCACCCCCCACATGAGTTCCTGCCCTCCCTGATCACACCTTTTCGCTGACGCACGCACGGGCCGACAGGTTGTGAACGGATGACTCCCACCGACAGGAAACTAAGTGTGAACGAGCAGCCGCTTCCAGCTGTCGGCTAAGGGGTGGGGAGGTGGGGGGGGCTCAGAAAGTACTGCGAACAAACGAGAGAGTGCAGGGTCTCCCCTCTCCAAGGGCCGGGAGCGTTTCTCTTGACAAGTCGCGGCATATCAACCCTGGTCCAGGCCGGCTGGAAGGGGGACTGACATAGATCCGGGGGTGAGGGGCAGGAATGTATGTGTATGTCAGAGCCGGAACGGCGAGAAGGACACTCACAGCATCTTGAGGATTAGGGCGAAGCATCCCAGCACACGGTCGGCCTGGGCAGGCAGCTGGATGGACAGGGTGCTGAGGACCGGGCTCACCAGCAGGCAGTCGATCAGGTTGGGCTCGCTGTCGCCCCCTGCTGGCCCTTTCAGCTTGTTGGCGGCGTTGTTGTTACGCTCCAGCTCCACGAGGATCTCGCTAGAGTTGACGATGGAGGGAGGTGGCGAGAGCGGCAGTGGGGGCGGCACGGAGGGGGGGTCCGGGGACTCCAGCTCGGAGCGCAGCAGCCGCAGCGGCAGCGGGGGCTTGCGCTCGTTCTGCTGCTGACAGCCGTTCCGGATCTCCTTCAGGCTGGGGGAGTTATCCCGGCTG